GCAGGCCTGGCCTGAACCTTCTCGGCACATCATGAACGTTGAGAGCGTTTCCGGCGACATGGAGTTGCACAGATTCTCGCATCCATTTGTCGAAGTTTGGGGCCGTAGAACCCAGAGCCTGCGCTGCGGTCGCCCGAGGCTTCTGCTGCTCAACCGCTCAAGGCATTTCCAAGGTCCGAGCCTGCAAACTGTAAACACGCAGAGTGTGGAATCCAACAAGACTCCGCGTCACGAGCCTGTCAAGTCTTCCCGATTCGGGAACATGTCTCTGAAAATCGGGAGCCCATCCAGGACGGCCGCCAGCAGCTTTGGAGCCCGCTCGAAATCTGCCTCTTCGTCATGCGACTGAGGCTGACAGCACAAAACAAGTGCCCGTCCCTGCAACTGAACCCGTGTGGCCTCGTCCCAGATTCGATCCATGGTCAAGATGTCGCCGTCTCGAATTGCAGCGTTCAGCTTCGTGGAGAACCAAGGAGCGGCTGCATTTCTCAGCTTTGGGAACACCACGTACGAAACAAGGATCTGTGTAATAGGCAGGGCGATGTCTGTATATACTGTAGCCATTAATGCCTGCGGTGTGTTCTCCACCAACAGCATTTCCTGCTTGGTGGGTGTGGTCTGGCGATATAGTATCGGGATAACTTTGTTCCAGACCCGTGACACCAAGCCAACTGACCCCTCCGTCACGTCCTGCCGGATCACCGTCGGCATGCACCAGACTGATAGCACATGGCTGGCAAGCTCACTCAGCATGTTCTTCTTGCGAAGTAAGAACATGTGGAAGACCGGTATGTGAAGCCAGCTAAGAACACCCATGATTTGGACCGAAGGATCTTCTGACTGCCAGCAAAGGCCGCCAAACAGGACATCTTTCAGGGTGTCGAAATTATCCGACAGAAATGGGACCATCCCCGCTATGGTAGCCTCAGCGAAGACCGTGAGGGGATACTCGTTATCCGGCGGCAGACAAGCGGCCTGAAGCAGATGCCAAAGACACGCAATGCTCAGAAGGCTGTCTGCTCGCAGGCTGGCGATCGTTGCAGCCAAGCGAATGAGATATGTGCATCCGAAAGTCGCTTGAACCGCCCGTCGGCGGTCCAAACATGCCCAAGACCCTGAACTTAGTCCTCTGGGCTTAGCAACATGTCCGCCTCTGCGGCATTGCCAAAGTTTGTTGGCGACACCACGTGCACTTGTTCACTGGCTTGGCGTGCCTCTCGTGATCGCCTTGAGCGGTATGCCACAAGGGCGGTGCCCACAGCCAAAGTCGTACTGTAGACGAACAACAGGAGTGGGATGAAGATGGTTCGCTCGTTCCAGCAACAAGCCGAGGAGGACGAGGAGTAGCAGCTTAGGGAACAGCACTTAACCATCTTCGTTGCAGCCTCGGCTTCACAGTACTACCGTAGCGGTGCTGGTGATGGTGTTCGAGAACCGGCGGCTCCAAATGTGGATTTGAGATTTTTAGAGATGACACTGCAACACTGGCTCGATTAGGCTTAGATTTTCGCGGTGGTTTAGGGTTTCCATTCGGCCACTGCAGGGCTATTCCTTCAGATGCGTCTGTGGCTGATCGTGCCGAAACATTTCAAGGTTTGAAGAAACTGCAACAAGTCGAAGACAACAAAATACATAGATAGGTAGATACATAGATGGACAGATAGATAGATAGATAAATAGATAGAAAATGGACAGATGGATTTGGGGGGACCACTCGGCAAACACATTCACTCAAGTCGCATTCTGTTCAATTTCTGAGCGGCGCTACTTGGTAGCACGTGCGTTGAGAAAACCTGAGTTGAGTTGTCAGAAAGACCTACATGATTTGCACAAAACGCACCAAGCCCCGAATGCATCGACATCAGAAGGCAACTGGATGGTGTCAATGCGAAGCGCTTGGGGTTTCCAGTCCTGGAACCACTCAATCGACAATTGATGCCCAGGCCACAAGATGTTCTACATGATTGATGTTTTGAGCTCTGAACTTTACACAGAACACTGCCATGAGGAGTAAAATTCAAAGGAAACCTGGAAAACCAAGATCCTAAACCCTCATCAAGATTTGGATCGACTCGGATTCTTTGGTCTTTGTGGCTTCAGGGTAGGATTAGGATTTAGGGTTTGTTTGCTTAGGTGTGTGGTTCTGGGGCTTGCCCTGAGGACCCGCGCGGAGCTCACGAGCCATTTGGGAGTGCTGCGCCGCACTCCTGAGCTGTTTGGAAGCGGCGCGCGCTTGCGCGCGCGAGTCTGTTGGACGGAGGCAGCTCCGGAGCTGTTGGACCGGCAGCTCTTAAGCTGCTGAGGTGCTGTTGGACCGGCAGCTCGTGTGCTGTTGGACCGGCAGCTTGTGTGCTGTTGC